GATAGGGTCTTTCGAACTATTTCCCCGGTCTGGCTTCAAACCTTGATCCTCCTGATCTCTGCCTCCTGAGTAGCCAGGATTACAGGTGTGAGCCACCAGTGCCTGGCCTAGCTCTGTATTTTATTATTTTCATTCAGAGGGAAAATTGTAATGTGAATTGTAATGTGAATTACAAGGAGATAACAAGGGCATTGCCTGAGAAGGGCACCTAAGCTTAGTGTTACCACGTTCCAGAGGACAGGGGCTTTACCTTTGCAGTGCAGGACCTCAGCTGTTCACAATTCCAAGTGTGAGACAGGCAACTTTATGATAACCAGTAGACTGAAATATAAAATTTAAGACGAGTTACAAAAAGAAATGTAGTTTTAAGCAGACCTAATCTTTCTTCCTCCACTTAAAAGCGTAACAAGAAAACAAAATTGTCATCTGAAAATCCATGATGTAAAGCACAGTTCTGCTTCTACTGACTGTGACCTTTTAGTATGCATGTGACATATATTTTAAATACTTATCTCTAAATCTACATGGCACAGCTGGGTGTCGTGGCCCATGCCTGTAATCCTAGCACTTGGGAGACAAAGGCAGGAGGATTGAGAATTCTAGACCAGCTTGGATTAGATAAGACCCTGTCTCAAAATAAATAAACAAATATAATAAATTTACAAGACACAGATACTAAAATACAAAAAGATATAGAATAAAACACCATTCTGTCACCCAATTTCTATTACCCACTTCCCAAGTGGACCACTATATTGTTTCATTATCTATCCACTCTACCTATGTGTTTTCTTTCTCTCTGTCTGTCTATCTGTCTATCCATCTACACACATATGCAATAAACATATAGATCTTTATTTGAGGAGGAGGGAATTTTTTTAATTTGGAGGGGGCAAATAGCCCCCACCTCCCAGTATGGTTAGGAGAGTTAAATATAAAACTCATTTAAAGAACTTTGCACTGGGCCCCATGGTTCACGCCTGTAATCCTACCTACTTGGGAGTTTGAAATCAGAAGGATCAAAGTTTAAGGCCAGCCCAGGCAAATGGTTTTTGAGATTGGACTGGAAGTATGAGTGCCTGCTTTGCAAGGACAAAACCCTGAGTTCAAACCCAGTCCCACCAAAAAGCAAAGAGGGCTAGTAGAATAGCTCAAGAAGCAAGCATGAGGCCCTGAATTCAAACTCCACCAAAAAAAAAAAACAAAACCCAAAAAACCTGTGCACTAACTGAGACATCTTCAGCGCTCATCTTATTATTATTAAGGATATTATGCTGATAAATCTTCTCGTGCTCCCTTTGGAATTCGATCCACACTTCCCTCACAGGAGCCTCTTGCCTGGCCATGAGGACCACGTTCATCTTTGGTTCCAGCTCCTCTCACTGCAGTTCTTTCCTTCCTTCCTTTCCCCCTCTCTCCCTCCCTCCCTTCCTTCTTTTTTTTCAGAGCTGAGAATCAAACCCAGGCTCCTGCATGGCACACAAGTGGTATACTCCCAGCCCTACTCTCATTGCTATAGTCTCTTTCAGTTCCTCCAGCATACCATGTTCTCCCATCTCTGGGTCCTCAAATATGCTGTTCCCTTTGCCTAGAACACCTTTTTCGTCCTGAACACAATTCTCCCCATCTGACTCCCCTGCCTGGCTAAACTCCAACTCATCTTTCTCATCTCAACTAGAATCATGGTGTTTGTGCCTGTCTCCTGTCTCCAATCAACACTGTGCTCTCTCTCTCTCTCCTAGCACTTAATCATTCATTCATATTTTCATATCATAAATATTTTTGAAGCCTACCACATGCCAGGTACTGTTAGGCTTGGCTACCATGTTGTATTTTCACTGCTAGGTTTGGTACTTCTTTTTGGGGGGAGGGGGTTGTGCTCGAGTTGAACCCAGGGCCTTGCACATGCTGGACAAGCACTCTAACACAGAGTTTCATCCCCAGCCCAATATTTCTAGTTATGTGATATTATATAATAATAATAATATGTAACTCGCATACCATAAAATTGACCCTTTTAGGTGTGTAATGAGTTGTTTTTTGGTATATTCACAAGATTGTACAATCATCACCATTATCTAATTCCAGACCATTTTCATCTCTTTCAAAAAGAAACCCATCACTGGGCATGGTGGTGTACATCTGTAATCTCAGCATTTAGGAGGCTCGGGTGGGAGAATCACAAGTGGGAACCTATCTCAAAAAACAAAATACAAAAAAAGAAACCCTTTAGTAGTCACTCTATTCTGCCTTCCCCTCAGACCCTGCTAACCACTAATCTGTCTCAATGGATTTGCCTACTCTGGACATTTCCTATAAGTGGAATCATACAATATGCAGTTTTTTTTTTATAAGTGGCTTCTTTTACTTAGCAGGATGTTCTCAGGGTTCACTCATTCTGTAGCATGTATTAGTACTTCATTCCTTTTTATGGCTGAATAATATTCCATTGTATGGATCAATCATTCTTATGATGTTTTTTGGTTGATGGAAATTTAGATTGTTTCCACTTTTTGGTGTTTTAGATAATGCTATTATGAACATTCATGCACTAGGTTTTTTTTTTGTGGATGTATGTTTTCATTTTTCTTGAAACTATACCTTAGAATAGAATTACTGGGCCATATGGTAACTCTATGTTTAATCTCTTTTTTTGGTGTTACTGGGGCCTGAACTCAGGGCCTCACACTTGCTATGCAGGTGCTGTACCACTTGAGCCATTTTGCCAGCCCTTTTTTGTGTTGAGTATTTTCAAGATAGTGGTTGGCTTTGAACCTCGATCCTCCGGATCTCTACCTCCTGAGTAGCTAGGATTACAGGTGTGCACTACCAGTGCCTGGCTATATTTAATCTTCTTGAAGAACTGCTAGGCTGTTTTTTTAAAGCAGTTACACCATTTTACATTCCCACCAGCAAGGTATAAGGGTCTGATTTTTCCACTTCTCATCAATACTTGTTATTGTCCTTATTTTTGATTATAGCTTTTCAAGTGGGTGCAAAATGATTCTGAAACTCTATGAGAACAGAGACGCCATCTGTCTTGTTTACTTGTTATCCAAGAATCTAGTACAGTGCTGGACACTTCATGGATATTAAGTATTTTGTTAGGGGCTGGGTATAGTTTATTGGTAGCGCACTCAACCTAGAATGCCCGAAGCCCTGGGTTCAATCCCCGACTATGTATGCAGTGTTGAATAAATGAGTCAATCAAAAGCTACTTGGATGGTTACAAAGGCTAATGTGTATTTATCTCCCCAATAGGGATTTGTCAAAGATCTAGTCTTGTTTTTTCTGCACAGTACTGAACCACCCCTCTTCTGATATCACAGTCTTTCTTCTGGGAGAAAGTTGGGTTAAATGTAAGCTTGTTCGTTCTTCACATCACTCATTTGGAGTCTTTTCTTTTTTTGTGGTGGTACTGGGTTTGAACTCAGGACCACACACTTGCTAGGCAGGCGCTGTACCACTTGAGCCACTCTGCAAGCCCCAGATCACTCATTTGGATTTGAGATGTGCACCAACTCCTCACTGAGGCACTTCTGGATAGTATCTTGGGATATTGGCTCGTTTTCTACCTTCTTTTCTCCTACAAAACTCTCAGCTTCTTTGTGCAGGGCTTTTTGCTCATCTCCAGGCACTTTATGCTTGCAAACAGTCACCCTCCTGGAGCTTTCTAAGCTGAAATAGGCCAGCACTTCTCTTTTTGGCTATCTTTTAATATTTCTTCTTTTTGGGTTTTCGGGTTTGGAAGTACCTGGACATGCTTAAGAGGGAGGAAGTCAGGCTGGGGACTGGATGGTGCTATTAGCCAGCACTTGGCACTTGAGAAATAGCTGTTCAATGAATGAATGAATGATTGAATGTGAAAAAGACAGGAACTGAAATGGGAAGGTGATTCCCGGTTGCAAAATGAAGATTTTGGCAACAAATATGTGCTTGAGTACTCAGTGTGTCCTTGCCTTGTAGTTCTATATCAAAACACACGGTAAATAAAACAGGAGTCGGCTTTGGACAGTTTCCGAAATCACTTCTAGCTGCATTATTCTATTTTTACGTCAATCTTTTTTATCTTACACCTATTGATTTTGAGGATTACATTTGAGCTAAGAAATCGACTCGTTTGCTTAAGCCCAAAACAAGAAGTTCTGATCTTCTGTCAGCAAAGCCCTGGGGTACTATTACATCTCCTAAAAGTTCTATCCCCCAAATGCTAACCTTCCCGACATTGGGGTCTTTAGATGGGAAACCTCCAAAAAGAATAGTCATGACGTCCACCAGAGGGTGCTGTGGGGGCAGATTTGTGCGGGGAGGGGAGCTCGCCCATGACCCTCAGAGCCAGGTAGGCGTCTTGAGCAATTTTCTTCCCGGTGTTTCCTCCCCATCCCCCTAGAACCATCGCCGCCCCTCCCCCACGCGTGGCTTCCCCTGGATAATTAGCTACTTTCAGAGACTTAGGTAGTGCTTGCTTTGGGAAAGACGTCTTTGCTTTTGTAGCTGACGCTCCGAGGCGGGTGACAAGCCGGCCGAGAGTGGGTGGGGATCTCGGGAGGGTGGTGAGGGACTGGCATCAGCAGCCCCGGCGCAGCAAGGGCGGCTAAGGGGTTAACCCGGCGGGGGGGGGGGCAGAGGGAGGGGAGGGAGGGGGAGGGGGCGCGGGCCGCGCCTGCGCTCTGCCGCCCTCCATTGTCTCCACGGCGGCGAGGAGAGCCGGCGAGCGCTGCCGGGGACCGAGCGGGGCGGCGCGGCTGGCGGGGCCGGCGGCGGCTGGAGCGAGCGAGCGCGCGACACGACGCGACGCGACCGCGGCTGCCCGAGCTCAGCCTCGCCTCCCAGCGCCGCAGCCCGCCCGCCTTAGGCCTGGAGGGGTCCGGGCTGTCGTCCATGGTGGCCGCGTCCTGAGGCAGGGGACGCGCCCGGCGCCCCCAGCCCTCCTCCGCCTCCTCCCGCGGGGCGGGCGGCCTCCTCCGGCGCCTCCCTGCGCCCGCCCTCCTTCCTTCCTTCCCTGCGGCGCCCGGCTTTCGGAGCCCGGGGGCGGCCTGTGGCGCGCGGATCCCGCGCCGGGCTGCGCCTCTTCGGACCTTGAAGGGAAACATGCGTTTGGCTTGGATCGTTTTCAGTTCTTAGTTTGGGGTCCCCGCCCGCTTGCTTCTTCCGCCCCGCGGGTTTTCTGGTTTTTTTCTTCTTCCCCCCCCTTCGCCTTTTTTCCTTTTCTTCCTCCGGGTCTCCGTTTTGACTCCTTCCCCCTTTATGCTCGCCCAGCCCTCCCCCCGCTGCTGAGAAGTGGGGGAGGGTCTCGGCCTCCCAAGTTCCCGCCCCACCGGGGCCCGGGCGAGCATGGGGGGCAAGCAGAGCACGGCGGCCCGCTCCCGGGGCCCCTTCCCGGGGGTCTCCACGGATGACAGCGCCGTGCCCCCGCCGGGAGGGGCGCCTCACTTTGGGCACTACCGGACGGGCGGCGGGGCCATGGGGCTGCGCAGCCGCTCCGTCAGCTCGGTGGCGGGCATGGGCATGGACCCCAGCACGGCCGGAGGGGTGCCCTTTGGCCTCTACACCCCCGCCTCCCGTGGAACCGGCGACTCGGAGAGGGCACCTGGTGGTGGAGGGTCCGCGTCTGACTCCACCTATGCCCATGGCAATGGTTACCAGGAGACCGGCGGCGGTCACCATAGAGACGGGATGCTGTACCTAGGCTCCCGAGCCTCGCTGGCGGATGCTCTACCTCTGCACATCGCACCCAGGTGGTTCAGCTCGCACAGTGGTGAGTCCACGGGTAGCGGAGGCTTTGGAGGGTGGGGTGCAAGGGAGGGCGCGCCGGGGCTCCCCAAACCTCGCGTGTGCCAAGGTTTGGGTATGGAGCGCACTGCCGTATGCGTGTCTGCCTTTCCTTTGGTTCCTGATGCCAGAGGATGAATGGGATGCCTTCTGTCTAGAAAAGAGGCTGTCTGAGGTTGCGGAGCCTGGCGTTTTAGGACTCTAAACATGTGTTCACTTGTGGATGGCAGAGTGAAACCTGCCCGTTGAAGTGCCATTTATTGGCATCGCCATCCTCAGTAGAGGTCTTGTCAGGCTCAAAGCGACTCAGCTTTGGCACTTCCTTTCTGTCACTGCAGCATGGTGCCTACTTCCCCCTTAATGGAAGCAGTGTCTCTTAAACAAAGAGTGTGAAAAGAAATACAACGGGAGGCAAGTGGTTCTTGGATTAAGGCTCTCACCCTTGCTGAGGGAGGGGGATGCCCAGTTTAGCCACCCTGCTGGAGATCTGAATGGAGTGTTTAAAATGGAGCAGGCAGCTGGCATAGACAGGTGTGGCCTGCTGTATGGAGAGCCTCCCTGCCTGGCTTTGCAGGACCAGGACTCTGGTCTCCCCTGCTGCATGCAGTAGGCTTGACTCGACGACTCTCACATCCCTCCATCTTTTTTCTTCTGCTCCATCCTAAGTGCTTGCTCTTCCCATGAATCTGCATCTTTTTGTAACAGCTTCTGGCAAGGTGGGGTATTACTGCTCGTCAGTTGGCACATGACTAGGGAGGAAGAGGATTCAAAGAATCTGGATGAATTCATTTGGAGAACTTCTGGTGACAAGCCAGGGAGAGACTGGTGGGGGATTTCCCAGGCTCTGGCGGGGGCAGAAAAGGCCTGGCAGGCTTTTCTAGAGGAAAACGGGTCTGTGCTTGGCTATCCTGAGTGCCAGGTCAGGCCTCTAGAAAATTGATCAAAATGATGTGGGGCTGCTGTTTGCTAAGTGGCAAGCTGAATAAGGAAGTTATATATTCAGACTCTTGGATGAGTTGGGAAAATTTAGATATTGTGTGGGAGAAAGATTTCTCCTGCTCTTTGGGTACTTTATGGAGGATTTTCCTATTGGATCATTGTAGATATTTATTTGGAAACAGGGTAGACTTTTGGCTGGTTCTCTCTCTCTCTCTCTCTTTCTCTCTCGGTCAATTCTGTAAACTTCAATATGTGAAGTAGCTTTGGGGGGAACATAGTGTTTAGTTCAGGGTAACACTTAGAAGTAGCTTTTGAATTGCTATTAAACTGGCATTTTAATCCCTGAACAGACGTCTGGATATCATTGGAGCTTCTCTGATCTGCATCAAACTGCCATGAATGAGATGCAGGGCATGTCTGCCTTTGGTACTTTTGGGCATTAGACTAGCTTTAGGTATCTTGAAATTAGTATTTCTTTGCACTTTAATCCAGAAAGACTCAGCTGTATTTGTGAGATGATTGTGGTTAAGTTTTTGAAAGAACTGTCTTTAGTATCTGGTTTTAAACTGAAAAACACTCTAAATCAGTTCTGTAAAATTACAGAATTTTGTGTGTAGCAAAATAGATGTAATCTTAAAAAGGCTTGTGTGGAGGAGGAAGAAAAGGAGTTCTCTTTTTGCGAAAATTCTAAAATTTCTTCAGTCTGTCTCTTACTAGAAACTTCTTTATCCTTATTCCTCTATCAGATCCCATGCTAAGTTACGAGCTCACAACTGGATTCCAACATCTCTCCTTAGTTGTGAAGCCATAATTTTTTTTCATCCAGTTGTGAGTGTAGGGAGCACTACTGAGCGATGGGGTTGGAGCATATTAATCCTTTAGGGAGAGGTGTCTCTAAAGTGTGTGTGGATGGCTGCTGTCAATATTATTTTAATACATTCCTTACTGTATAGTACCATCCTGTCCTTTTGCAAGGCATTGCGCTACTAAATGCCCAAGGCATCCTGAAGTTCACTCCAAAATGCCTTTGGGAATTCCCAGATGCCCTTTGAGAACCCCTGCTTTAGGTATTCATTCTATTTATTTATTTAAAAAGTGGATTAGCTTTTCCTGCTGTTCACTTGAGATAAGCCTTCGTATCAATCAGTGGTTCTATCTCCTGGAACAGGCCACAGGATTTTCTGGGCCATCCTTTCCCTCTCTTGTTCATTGCTGCAAGAAGAGAAGCTTGTTTCTACTTTGGAGCCTTTGAGTCAGGTCTGAGCAGCTTTTGCTCTTGCCTAGTAAGATTCGGATGGTAGAGATTTCAGTGCATAATTGACCAGATGTCTGGAAGCTGATATGGTGTTGCTTGTGTTTTAAAGGTGCTTTGGGGATTCTTCACAGGACAGAAAGCAGCCATTAGTGAAATAAGTAAAATCCATGGACTTGTGCTGTGTCCAGAAGTAGAGTACTGAGGGCTTCCAGTCTCAGCTCCTTCTGAGTAGCTGTGACCTTGGACAAGACACATCATCTCTCTCTAGCCTCATCTTTGTTATTTTAAAAATAGATGTGGTAATCCTCAATGTGGCAGCCTGTAAGGGTTGTTCTCCAAATCTTGTGAGAGGATGGCCTGCAGTCACATTTGTCTTCTGTGTTCCTGTGCTTTCCCGCTCTCTGACCCTCACAGGATACCTTTCCTTTCCTTCTTCACATGGATATCTCTTTTGGACCCCTTAGGGCTCAACAGGAATTTCTCCTCTGAGACCACTCTTAAAAACTTCTGTGATTCTTTCCAGTTACTCATTGTTACCTTAATAGTTCTTAGTACAGTTTAGAAGTATTTTACTTACCTGTTTACTTTTTTCTACTTACAGTTTGACTAAATTTAAGCTCTATAAGAGCAGGACTGTGTCTCTTGATTACTGCTGTAAGTCTTGCAGTATGCCTGGCTTAAGTATTTGTATTTGCTGAGTGAAAGAATTTGACTAGTTTATTTCCATCATCTTATTTAAGCATCACTGTAACTCTATGAGGTAAGGCATCCCCTCCCCCCACCCAGATAACAGGTTTTAGGGAAGGTTAAGGAACCCACACAAATCAGAAGGCTAGTGCAGGTCTGGTGGTAGCAGATCCTGGGCCTTTTTTTTTTTTGGTTAGAGACAGGATGGGGGGGTACAAATAATGTATACACATGTAAGTAAATGTAAAAATGATTAAAAAAAAAAAAAAGCCAGGATTCCACTGTGTAACCCACACTGTCTTCAAACTTAAGATCTTCCTGTGTCCACCTCTCCAAGTGCTGAGATTACAAGCATGTACTGTTGTTCTCAACCAGAACTGAACTCTTAACTATCACTCTCCAGCCGCTCACCTGTAACATAAGGAAGCAGGGTAGTGTCTTGGAAACTGTGCTGACCAAGGAATGTGAAGGCTAGGCTCAGCTCCTGGTTGGGCTGTGGATAGAATGCCTTACCTGTGACCTTGGGCAGGTGAGTCATTTATCCCCAAAGTCACTGTATGTTCATGTGTGAAATGGAGATGATTCCTGTCTTGCTTACCTTGCAAAGTGCTTGTGAGGATCTTGTGAGACAATGAACACAAAAGCCAAGGGACAAATAAGTGGAGAGTGGTGGGGATGCTTCTGTAGTTCTCTGCCTTCTCTGTCTTCTCAGAACTTGATGGGCAGAGGTTTACAAGTGCAGGAACATAGCTCCTAAATGGAAGCTAGTGCCATCTGAATTCTTACCTACCCTGATGGGCTCGGTCTTCATCAAGAAGAGTGCCACTGAGGAAAGTGGCCTTCCTTTCACTGTTCAAGTGTCATTTTGCTGTGAGGAGTTGCTGCAACTCCTGCTGGTTGTCTGCATGCTACTCTGGAGGCCTGGCCAAACTTTCTTAGTATTCCTGTTTATGCAGCTGTGTGGAGAAAACATGGAGCGTCTACCATGTTGAAGGATGTTGCTGTTTTCTGGGTCCTGATGTGAAGGGGCTGGTCACTAAGGGTTTTATTCTGTTTTCTTGGTCACATGTGTGTATACATGTGCACATTCAGAAGAATCCAAAGTGTTCTCTCTTGTCACCATGACATCAGCTGGGGCTGAGATGAGGTGACTTTTGATAAGTCTCTAAACCTGGGTTCTTTTTTGCTGCCACACTAGGGTTCTCAAGTAGTTTAATGTTCTCCATTCTTAAATAATGAGGGAAACTTGCCAGCTCCATTGGAGTCCATCGGGAAGCTGTTGTGTTCTCACTGTAGGCATGCTAGAAGTAATGGGCCTTTGCATGGTTTCTGAAGAAGGAAAAGTGGTGTATGTTCTCCAAAGAGCCTGGTGCTGTCCCTGCCTGTTCTTAATGATGACTTTTTTTTTTGCATAATTTTTAGTTTTCTGTTACCATGAGGACTTAATTTCCTAACCTTGAGGCAAAGATAGATTCTTAAGGGTCATAGTTATCTGTTCCTCATGAGATTTGAAAGGTGTTGCACGCAACAGTGGTCAATACTTAAAGTGTTTGCTTTATGGGATGTGTAAATTTTGACATTAAACAAAGACCCATCCCAAATATGTCACAAATAATACTCTGATTCAGGCCACTTTTAACCAAAGAGAGCTCTAGTTTTCTTGGGGAGAAGGAATGTGCCTTGTATTTACAAAGGGATTATACTTAACCCACGCTTATTGGGCACTAAAACTTTAGAATACTCAATTATAGCACTAAACTTCATTTGTGACATTTTCAGAATTGGAAAACAGCTTCACAGGGAAGTGGTGGTGACTTAAATGGGATATTGGTCCTTTTCCTACTAATCCTTTGGGAGGGTTAATGGTAGTGGGTATCTGAGGATGTGTTGTTAGAATCTTGAAGTTACATAAATCCTAACCCTAGTCTTTTAGATTGGTGGATGAGTATACATTTTAGTCTGTTTCTTTTCCAAGCTTTTCCATGGTCCAGTCTGAATCAAATGGTTCTTCATAGCATTTTACTGTGGTTATAGGCTTACATAGAAGATGAGGCATGTTAGAGACTCGGCAATTTTCACTTCCAAATCTTGTGTTCTCACAAGGA